GGTAGACATACAGACTTATGAGATAGACATACGAGTAAATTAGTCCTCACTGTATTCAGATAATCTGTATTTATCCTGTGCTTTTATCCCATCAAAAGGACAGTCAAAATCAGCTGTTTAGTTTATTTAAACAGTTAATAGGGAATTTTCATCGTCACAACTGGTTGTTGATTGATAACTTTTTAGTGAACATCTGTGGTGTATATTAATCCCATTTCGACCAGTTACCTGTGATGACATACTATGAACAACAAATATGTTAGAGTTAATCGGAAAGAAGCCCTGGAGTTGGGTTTCCTGTTTGTAAGCACTCGTCAGCAGCACATATTTGCAACAATTAGGAAACTAATGTCCATACCCTGGCCACCTGAACCTACATCACTCAGAAATGAATTCAGAGACGTAATGACTAGGCTTATCAGGCCACGAATGACCCTTTTTAGGACTGAATCATGTCCAACAGTTACTCACCAGTGCGTGATGCTTGTAACTAACTAACTAACTTACTGGTTAGTCCTCAGTTGCAAGTGTTACCTACTGATGTACAAATCAATATTTACATCCTTTCCGGGTGTGAATAAATACAATTTACCTTCCTGAATATGTTTTAATACTGCTTCAGTATACGTGGAATGAATATAGATAATTTTTTTGGATGTTACTATACTTCTTCTGATCCAGGCGTTTGAAAGACGTAGTTTATTATATGGTATGTAACAAAATGAAAAAAACCCTTTACAGATCCTGACTATTCAGCGTCTTCATGAGATGTCTTTAAGTCTGTCTGTTCATCTATCCTTCAGTTTTCTAGATATATCGGTATTATTACTGAGACATGTATCTATGAAATCGATTTTTAACAAGACGTAGTGGCTATATATCCTTTTGTTAGGAAGATTGGTTTTATGTAACTGAATTTATTGATTATTAATTGATGGTGATGACCAGCTTCTAGGTATTTTCAAATAATTCTGCAGCTACATTTCTTCATAACTTTTGAATTTCATTTATACCTACGGTTTTCATGTGGATTTTTAAAAGGAAATGTGTATCTTGTGGCACATATGTAAATTTGTGTTCCTTGTGTAAAACTGGGGGGGGGGTTGCAAAGATACAGTGACTGGTACAATGCCAATCACAGTGCTTACAGTTCATTTCGTATATAATTTGGTAGTTGTTTTTCTTTGGAACTATATTCTTGAGTTCACTTGTTTCATCTGAATACACTTTGTCTGTAAGTGGTACCAACGAAAATTTCTGTACCGCGACGGTTTGAGCAGTTTTTATTTTATGCTGTAAGTCAGTGTGAATACATTTAGGACAAGATTGCTGGTAAATTAATAAAGGACTCCTACGTGTCTCGATAACCCATAGGTTGGATCATGGGGACTGCTTATTTTCTTGAAGAGAAGCTCATTGACGAATTCAATTAAGTAATGAAAAATACAGTATTTCAGCGTTGGTCATAGATCCTGGATTTCTTATCACTAGAACTCAGAAAAAAGTGGTTGACTGATCAAATTGTAGAAATAATAGTTTGGGAAGGCTTTGTTAGCTACTAACCGGTTGAATGTATGCCTTGACGCTTGCTCCTACATTAATATTCAGATACCGAGATTTCAACCCCACCACTCCTCGAATGGAATGTAGTAAGATGAAAATTATTTGATCTAGAGAACTTTTATAGACTTGGTAAACAACAAAACACTTCAAAACACGTGTATACATATAATAATTTTGATTCCATCCGAAACTGAGAATACTGTTATATTAAAAACAGCTCCAATCAATAAGAAAAGGCGGGAATATTGTTCTACTGGCAATGACGAAATTCACTCGCAGTCTATGAATGATGAATTTCCACTGAATGACTATACTTCATTCGCAACATGAAAACTTGACACCGTGAAGTACCAGTGAATCTCGCATACATTAGGTGTAGGTGAGTGAAGTTGAGATCTACTGTTCCCCTAAAATCAATCTAAGGGAGCTGAACATTTGTAAATAATCTCTGAAATGAAAACCCTACCAACTAACTACTAACAAACGGACTATTACTATGAGATGAACGTGTAGAGAAGAATAAGCAAACAATAAAAAACCTAACGGAGATATTTTCGCTACTTTTCAGGTTTGTCAGACAAAAGAAATCAAAACAGTAACCTCTCATCTTTCAAGTTGTTTAATTAAAAATAAAGCTTCATATAACTATATGCCGTAAAATAAATTCCTGGATAAGTGAAACGTTCCTTAATGAGACATATTATTCTACTAATTGGGTCATAACTGTATAAGCTGCGACTATCATACGATGTTCAGTATTTACAATCAGTTAGACAATCTATCATGACCAATAATTCTAGACAAATAATTGATCCTGAAACCAAAATGAATAAATATAAATATATAATCATTCGGTCCCAACCTGCATTTAATAAATGATAGAAATTACTCTAAAATATACTTCATTCCACTTGTTATGTGGATAAAAAAGGCATTTTCCATGGTATAAACATATTTCACTGCGAAAACTCATTTTCTCCTATGTAGTTATGGTAATGTTTTCCTCAATGAAAAGTAACAGGTAAGGAAATTTAAGAGAGACTTAATAACTGCTAAGATAACAAATTACTTTCCTTTATTTGTGAAAAACTATCTTCGCAATCGAAATAACGAAACTTGATTAGTTATTTTGGCAGTTTTTGCCAATGTGGACTTAAAATTCACTCAAGGATATTGGAGTTACTTTAAAGGCATTTGAAGCAACAACTGAAATAGCCTGTTGGGATTATGATATTTCTACTGAAAAGGCAGATTTTCATAAAATAAAGAAATCTAATTGGTTAATCTAGTTGTTGCCAGCATGCCCCTTAAAGTTGCTCAGGAAATTTACTCAAGGTGTAAACCTTCAAAATGAAGTGAAATCACTTACTGGGCACATACATATAACCAAACCTTGAAACTTGAACCTTGTTAGAGCTCAGTTATTAAAGCTACTTAGCAAAAAAAGCTTGTCTTGTAGATTTCTCATAGGATGTACATGTATATAGTATGTGCATCATCTTGACTATTTGAGTTAGCCACGGTTTGATAGACTTGTACTACTGCTGGATGATGATTGAAGGTGAAATGAAAATTAAGGTCATGATGGGATTCGAACCAGTGACCGCCCAGTTTACGGCTCAGTACTCTGCCAACTGAATTACGAGATCCGACTGCTGAACAGAATTCTATTTCGGCTATCTCAGACGGTCAAAATGATCATCAATACGATGCTCCGCTTCTCTAACTCAGTGACATTTGGATTGAGATGGGAAGTCTTGACCGAGAAGCCACTATGAATAGAATCAAGCGGTAGTAATGCATCACGAACTCACATGGTAGTTAGACGAAACCCTTGGTGATTCAAGTGGAGCAAAAACCTGGTCAACAGTTGGCCGTCGTAGCTCAGATGGTAGAACATTGGGCTGGAAAACCGGTGGTCTGTTGTCCGAATCCTACCGTCCAGTACATATGTACATATATATGTAGTGGTAGTGAAATACAAATGGATCTAAGAGGTATATTTTATTCTATTTGAGAATCGTTAGTTAGATGTATTTCTGTCAGTCTGTTGGATCCTTGTTACGTTATAGAACTGACATTTATCTTTTCAAATTTCATGAGGGTATTGGGTCACAGCAATCAGATACCTCTTAAACTATACTGTTAGCTATCATCAGATCAAACAACATATGCATGAAACTCTTGGAAACGTCGAGGCATCCATTCTAGGAGACGATATGTTACCAGAGGCTGATTGGTTTGGCCCAGCAGTGTGATGGAAATGAGGCTGAAAAAAATCCTAAGTAGTAAGTTCAATATAAATGCGTTGCTGAAGTTTGCATGTTCTTGATCAAGTTGTATTTGTGAGAACTACATACCTACAGTACCCACAAGTGCTTGTGGAAAGACAGTTTACTACATATAACAAAGGTATACTCTGCATATTCTGACTTTATTCCTACTTTTTCGTTTAAATGCATCATTTGAAATGTTGTTCACGACAGAGATATTCGTGACAATAACAATCAGAACAAACGATATGACTGTTCCCACTGTGATCACAATTGTTTCATATCTGCTATTTGTATCGCATAAGATGTGTCTGAAATTTAATCACTTGGTAAGAGGAATGCTGACGTACTGAGAAACAGTAGATAGCTCACGGCTGAGTTTTCTGCAAATGGAATTAAATGTGGGTTCACAAAACTAAGAGCGATCACTTTGTCTCTTCATTATTAAAGATGGAGACAGCCATTCTTTTGATACCAATTAATAATGAGTTATGTCGCCTTAAAAATAATAACTAACGATGTTGTCAGAACTGAAATATATAGGACTGACAAAGAGAACGAAACGTGTGTCGGGGACTCCACTGCTAGTCACCAAAGTGATTATAACATCATGAATATCCAGCAGTATCGGAGCATCCACATAAGAACCAATCTGCCAACAGAGATCAAGCAATCTAACCTTGTATAATAATGGGAAATCACAAGTGTCTAACGATAGTTGATATCCGTTGAACAAGAGGTGTGTCTCGTGCCCCAGCTGGGGTCCAAAGCGATGGGTAATGGGCTTCAGTTTCATTGGAAACTACATCTAGCTGACGAATCTCAGATAAGATGAAACACTTGTCCACCATTTCACTGCTAGTCAAAAAGATGAATACAAGATTAACATACTTTCCTTCAAACAATGGATGTATAATTGATTGATTTTATTGTATATTATCTTTGTTCCTCTAGTAAGTAAGATGGTGGGACAGTCAGATGTTCACAGCATTTATTTAACTGTGCCAATAGGCATGATGAGTCAAAGCATAAATAAGGTTTGCTGATTTTGGTGTCACCGTAAGACACAAAAAGTTGCTTATTCCTATTTTCATTGTATTTGACTAGATTTTGTTCTTATCTCTACTTTTTATCAATATATGGATGTAAAAAGGCTCATCTGTTAACAAAAAACGTTTATTGATACAAAGTATTTAGATAAAATGAAAGCTTTTTCTTCGGCGTTTATCTTTATCTCTAAAAGAAAGCAAGAATCTTACACAATGTGAACTGTTGGGTTATCAAAATTGATGAAACTGAGTTTTTCTCTATTCCACCGCTCGACGTTTACATGAAGGTGATCTACAAAAACTGTCAACTATGCAATTTTCTTTACTATTTGGTTGATATAATGGTGATGATGCTGCTGATGGTGAATTATTGCTTGTCATTGAAGCTTTGTCTTTGGTATTGTTATTTTCTGAAGCATTCTGCTGAAATACTACGCTTGTAGAAGTCCCATGGCACAATCCATTTTGACATGCTATACACTTTTGTGAATTGTGTGGACCAGCTGGTTTACCATCTCTCCTCCTACTGTCCCAATGATCATCCCATTTGATAGCAGACTGATAAAAGTTATGATGAATTTCAACGAATAAATTACGTATCACCTGAGTTGGAAAAAGAAGCATGTGAAGATATTAGATGGATTGAAGAATATCATAAAATATGCGCATCATCAATAATCGCATTATTGTATCTTCTTTGCAGTCTTGATGTGTTTCAGTGGAAAGTGGAATTTTAATTCTAAGTGCTTAGGAATAACTGACAAGGATTGTAACAACGAAGCGTTTTATTCTCAAGTTAACAGATAGTTAAATGTGTTTACACCTTCAGAGATATCACTCAAGTGTTTAGCTCAAAGAGAATGTAGAATAGCGTCAACGTTTTGTATATTATAGCAAAACAACACAAAAGATCAGGCATTAGATAAAGATTTAGGTTCGAACTTATTACTCACTCGGAGAAAAAGTAGTTTTGTCAGCTATAGAGGTCATTTGAAATCGTATAAACTACTATAAATTAGTGATCAGAAGAAAAAGTCTGTAACTGAGGTTAAGTTTCAGTCAGGGATTTTATAGTTGTGTCTTTATAGTATCCTACTCACAAAATGATCAATATTTTTTATTGCTCTTTGAAAGGATAAAGAGAATTTAATTTCAAGATATCTCCATAAGCATTACAGATAATGAGGACCTACTTAAAAATGCATACTTCCAGCTGTTTATTAGTAGGACCAATCAGATTCAAGTAATGTAGATTTCTGAAATATAGTAGAAGGTGATAAAACCCTTTTGAAAAAAAAACATTTTTCTTATGCAAGTACTTCAGCTTTATTACTAAGGGCAATTTACATATGAAACTTGTCTGTAGATTGAAATCAAAACAGTATTGTCGAAGTCAAGACTGCTTTCATTTGACGATAGTAAGAACTTACTGCCATTAGATGGTCAGAACTAGTAGAATATCAAGTCGTGATTTATATAACTCATGAAGTTTCGCATTGAAAATGGGATTACATAATACAGCACTGCAAAAGTCATTCTTTTCTAAGGAACAGTAATGTTTTGTGGATAAAGAATCTGGTGGCAAACTATTCAGCAGAGCAGGGCAATCATATGTTCTATACATTCTGTTCATCTCCAACATGATCTTCTTTGATGACAGTGTTTCTTGAATATGGGATTACTCGTTTTTTTATGGTATTTTACAACTGACCGAAATTGTTGAAAGCGATCCTTGTAGATGTAAATAAATTCGAAACTATTAGAGCTATTTCTACTTGATTGACTGTCGCTGCTAATGATTTTACTGTATATCTATACAAATTTGTCATGGATTTAAATTTTGTAATTACCGCCTACCTGAAGTGTTTTTAAGTCATTTTGTGCTCATCTCACTTGTAGTCAGGTTGACCTTGACTAAGGTTACTACTGCTACAATTGTCTATCGGTTGTAGATTGAACTGCAGATTTGAGCATGGAGTCTGTTGTACTACTGTGCTCCTGTCTGTACAGTGAAGCATTTTGTAGGTGTGAGATTCAGGTTGACAGATGAACTAGGCCTAATAATTTCGAATTGGTTTTTATTCATGTTTATTGTTAACCAGAAATGAATTTATCTCACTAATAGCCGCGCCATGTCAACAAAAAATAAGGGAGTTATCAACAAAAAAACTGTTCACACGTTTAATCAAATCAAATTTAGGTAAAAATGGTGAATAATAGCTAGCAGTGGGATCCAGGTGGTGCGTTTCGTCTTATTTGGGACTCATCAACTGTATACACCAGTCTCTCAGCAAGAGATGTTTGTCCCACTAAACTGGAACCTAGGGTCGACGGCTTTAACTACCAGAGGGTTATCCACTAGGTCACTGCTGGACGACAGCTACTTCTTGTGAGACGAGTATAGTTTCGAATTTATTACCTGCAAATTTCCTGAATCCATGTAGGAACCTGTATGTCAATAGAAACCGATCAGTTCAGTCTAATTAAAGACAGGAAAAACTTCACCCAGTAACAATGAATCATCGTTTATCGCATATTTATCTAGAAATACCTTTTCATGAACAACTTAAGAAATTTGGTCTGGTAGGTGATGAACATAAACATTGTGGGGAAGTTTATCACCAAGATTCAGTACAGGATAGCCGTCAAATAAAATTATAGCTTCCATTCACTAACTTAGAAAGAAATTGAATTCACTGGAAGACGCTGCTTGCGTAGACAAGTAATTTGGTTATAATTTAGCGGCAATCAGATCTGGTGCAAATAAAATTCACTACCAAAAAGACCTACTTAGGAAAGCTCAGAAAAAAGGATAAGCTTTGTATTTCACAAAGTAACAGAGACAATGAATGAATGCATACCTCCTGCAATAACACTATACTAAGTTTAAAGAATGAATATCTGAAGGGAGATAACACTACATAGTCATTGAAATGTCCTATTTTATGCGTCATAAAACGGGGATTTCAGTAGTGCCTAGTTTTCTGTTATTGTCATCTTTACAAAAACTAGCTATTTACTACTATCAGACAAAGGACAAGTTTGTCTTGAAAAAAATAACAACTTGAGAAGTTTGATTAATTTTTCACTGTGAATTGTAAAATAACAGTTTATTTAAGATATAATCTACGAAAATGTGAATTTCACTCCTTTAAACATCTTTTAGAAATGTCACTCAATTAAAAATGTAAACGTTTTTGACTAAATTTGTAGCTTATTCTTAAGTTGAAGAAACATTTGCCGACAGAACACATCTATGTATGTAAACAATTATCTTTATCATGCATAAATCTGTTTTATACTCTAGGAAATTACCGCTTTGATTTATTTGTTCTATTAGTGAATGAGTCTTTGGGAAAAAAGATACATAACAGAGTAGAGCAAAAATATGTTGTCGATTACTAACATGTGCTTTTATTTCGGACGCTAAGATAACTTCGAAGGTAGGTGGACAATATTTCTTTAGTCAACTGACAGTGATAGTTATGTGCGCAGTGCACATCTGCATTGGCATAATTTCTTGAACGTTATTTTCTTTCCCACATTTTGATTCTATTGTAACAAATGACCTTCAGACTTTTTTGCTGTTATTTGAACATCAACGGATTTTCTAAGTTTCAATTAGGAAAAGAAGGTCACATTAACAGTTTACTACAGCAGGAATTACAACAGTCCTAACAAAAATTAGCCATAGTAACGAGAAAATTCTAAAAAGCGAAAGGAATGTCAAAGGGAATCCTGTAGGAGGAAACATTTAAGTACATTTAATGAACGATCTTAAGAGTCTATGCGCCTCTTCAGATGTTGTTTACGTAATGTGGTCTAACAAGATGGGAGATTTCTTCTAGGCAATAGATAAAAAGAAAATATACTTTGCATAACGATTTACAGCCAAAGAAAATAACAATTTTTACCAATTATTTTGTATTACTTCCTCCAATAGGTATAGAACAAAACAACCACTGGTAAATACCTCTTACGAAGTTATTAGACCAACAGGTGTATTTATAAAATAGTCAGTGTGAAGGAAATTATGCATTGACATAATTTATGCATGAAATGTTTTGGGCATTTACAAACAATCCAATGAGACGCCAGACAAGAGTTCCTCACAGTGAATGCAAACTGTAGTATCGGAAACAACAACAATGCCAAACAAAAAAAAGTTGATGATATTTATGAAGAAATAAATTTCATGCACGCATCTCACTATTACCTGTAAGTTTACCTTTGAAAAAGCATTCTGCTATGAAAATATAACGACCCAACGAACCAATTTATGTGATAGCTAATTCATGATACCAAGTGATATATTCAAGTGGCTTTGTGCATCTTGAAAAAAGTAAAATTCATAAGTTACGTGAAATACAGTTCATAGTCGTTTAGCAGATAAAATCCAATGCGTAAAATTGTATTGTCGCCATGAAGTTATTCTCTTCCAGTAATTTTAACTGAGATGAGCAGATATTCATGTGTATAAGTATTAGGACTGCATTAAGATTACGAAAACCTAAAGGCGTTTTAGGTTGATATTCATCATGAGAGGACTAGACAAACGTTTCATCTTAGTATGGGACTCCTCAGCATTGCCCACTCATGAAACCAGCAAGAATGAAATTCAGGACACTCAGGTTCTACTGCTAACCAGTTACCATTGAGCTACTATGTCTATATCCAGCGGTCCACATTTTTATACTTTCGTGTTTGTATTTATCATGCTGCCTATGGCCATTTCAGTTTTTCTGTACGCTATATTGCACATTGAGTAAGTATTGCTTACTGAATAATACATTGAACACATTTTATGATTTATGGTCAAGTCAAAATCTACAAATCTACTTAGAGACGAGCTTCATAAGCTTGAAGATTATACTGAGTCTATCAGGCAGTACATTACCGTTTATGGAATCCCATGAAATAACCGTGAGGTCAAGTACATAGGTCAGAGAAGTTAGCCACGATCATTTAGGCTATCAGCATACAGAAAGTGAGCTGAATCAAAGCTAATCTGGAGTGATTCTCATTCATGGTAATCGCGTACAATCACGTAACATAATAAGACATACTGACTGTCCTAATAACTTAATAAGTTGGTTCACATGGGATGCATTTTTCTTGAATCAACACCAATTACTTGCAACACGAACGACTAAACACCTGTTTCAGATATCCGGAAGATTCTACCAGCAAAAACTGGAACTAATTGAAACAATGTCTCAGGGTTATAGAACTAACATGATATAGACAATAATTTCTGCATGTGTAATCAGCTGGCTAAATAAACTTAGGTGAAATTTTACTGTACCACAGTGTATTTACTCCTTCACATACTTTTTACTGACTGTTAACTAATTTGAACTTCATTTGGACTACATTACTCGTAAATTCCCACTGAAAGTGAAGATACTCAACTGACTTCAAGTTTCGAATAACTTTAAACAGCATTCCAACAACTACTGGGATAGCAAATCATCTTTGTCTATTCCATGGAAAACTATGTTTTAGCCTAAATAGAGAAATATGACTGATTATTTTAGTCTTTGCTACGATGATTTTTAGAGTCACTCGTAGTTTCTTATCAAGTTACAGTTCAATCGAATGAA